TCCACGGTAAGCAATACTTACCCTACCATAACAAAAAGGCAACCCTGACAGCAGAGATCTGCCAGGGCTCATGAATAATTAACAAGGAGCAGACCTGCATTAAAGATAATGCTGTGTTGTCTATAATGTGAGTTTGCCCCTAAGGTGACAGGAACCCAAAATACAGAGGAAATAATGAATAAAAAGGGGAGGAGGGCCTTCTCCCACAGAATATGATGACCAGCAGCTTTCAGTGTAAGCTGTGGCTTCACGGCAGCTCTCCGCGCACGGCAGCTCTCCACGTGCATCCCCGGGCTGACTTGCACACGAGCATCCTCGTTAATCGCTGGGAAGGCAGGGCCGTGTCGAGAGGATAATGACTGAGATGGCGCTAATCAGGGTGGCAAACCACACGCAGCGGTACTCTGGGAGAGGTGCTAATTGGTGATGGTGTGAGGGCCAGGTTTCACTCTGGCTGCAGTGTGTTAGCGCTACCTGATTCGCTGCTCGCCCAGCTTTATATATGCACATGGTTGTGTGTGTGTGTGTGTGTGTGTGTGTGTATTATATACATGCGTGCACTTTGCTGTGCCAGTACAGGACATTCAAAAGATTTTTACATGAAGCTTGATATACAGAATCAATTATAATGATTGTTTTTCTTAACAGATGAGATACTGAGGTAATAGTACTAATTACACACAGGTAGTGCAGTATAAGGCTTTGTCTGCTTCGCTAGCAATATGTCACCTCGTTTTCCTTACAATTATCTTTAAATGAGACTAATATCCAAATGGTTCTCTCATCACGGTCACCTAGGTCCTTACTTCCATGTCTGCATTAATGAATGAATGTTACATTCATATAGCGCTTTTCAAGACACCCAAAACACTATACAGAACCAATGGGGAGCCACTTCAATCACCACCACTGTGTAGCCCCACCTGGATGATGCGATGGCAGCCATTCAGCACCAGTACGCTCACCACACAGTAGCGAAGGTGAAGGGGCAGGAGAGAATTCACCAGTTAGATACTGGGGAGGATTAGGAGGCCAGATTTGAAAGGACCACAGTGGGCAGTTTAGCCAGGACATTGGGGTACCACCCTTACACTTTCAGAAGATGCCCAGGGACCTTTTATGACCTCAGAGTCAGGACCACAGTTTCACATCTCATCCAAAGCACAGCACCATTTTTATAGGAGTATCCCTGTCCCTGACCACAGGAGGGGCTTCCATGTCAAACACACCAACACCCCTTCCAGCAGCAACCCACTTTCCTAGTTGGTCTCCCATCCAAGTACTGGCCAGGCCCACACCTGCTTAGCTTCAGGTGGGTTACCAGGTCTGAACTGCAGGTGGTATTAGTTATGACATTTAAAAAATACATATACAGACGTCGACAAATTTGTTGATTCCCCTACAGCTCTTTGAAACGATGCTTCATTTCACTTGAAAAGTGATTCAATTATAAGCAATTGTCTAATGTATACCTGCATGCGTTTAGTATGTGATAGAGTAAACCAATAAAATTGTGAAAAGAAATGATTTGTTGTTTATTTTACAAAGATATGCTAAAATAGTACGGACAGATTTGTTGGTGCCCCTAAAGACACTATTTATCCCTGCATTATAATCATGTTTCAAACTAAGTGTTTAACCTTAATTAGTATCACAGGTGCCTTCAAGCTTTTCATCAGCCATTCAGCCTATTTAAAGGGAAAGAACATGCTACTGTGTTTTTGGTATCATTGTGTGCATCACACTGAACATGGACCAGAGAAAGCAAAGGAGACAGCTGTCTGAGGAGCTCAGAAAGGAGATTATAGATAACAGTGTTAAAGGTAAAGGCTATAAGACCACCTCCAAGCAGCTTCATGTTTCTGTGACCACAGTTACCAATATTATTAAAAACTATGGTTCATGGGACTGTAGCCAACCTCCCAGGACGTGGACACAAGAGGAAATGCAACCCCAGGTTGATCAGAAGAATAGAGCGGACGGTAGAAAAAGAGCCAAGGAAATCATCCAAAACCATTAAAGCTGAGCTTCTAGGTCAAGGTACGTCACTTTCTGATCACACTATCCGTCATATTTTGAATAATATTGGGCTCCATGGAAGAAGACCCAGGAGGGCTCCACTATTGATAGAAGAACATAAAAAAGCAAGAGTGGAATTTGCTAAAATGCATGTCCCAAAGTTTCTGGGAGAATTTCCTTTGGACTGATGAGACAAAACTGGAGCTTTCTGGCCAGTCACATCAGGTCTATGTTTACCAAGTGAAAAATGATGCTTAAAAGAAAAGAACACCATACCTACTGTGAGACATGGAGGGGGCACCATACCTACTGGGGTTAGGGTTGGTTTTGGGGCTGCTTTGCTGCATCTGACACAGGGAACCTTGAATCTATGCAGGACACAATGAAGTCTCAAGACTACCAAGGCATCCTGGAGTGAAACATACTGCCCAGTGTCAGAAAGCTCAGCCTCAGTCACAGGTCATGGGTCCCGGTCCCCCAACAGGATAATGACCCAAAACGTACAGCTAAAAGCACTCAAGAATTGCTGAGAAAAAAAATCAATGGACTATTCTTAAATGTCCCTCCATGAGCCCAGATCTTAATCTTATTCAACATCTACGGAAAGATCTGAAAATTGCAGTGTGGAGACGCCACCCTTCAAACCTGAGACAGCTTGAGCAGTTTGCTCAGGAAGAGTGGGCCAAACTACCTGTTGGCAAGTGCAGACGTCTCATTGTGAAGTACAGAGGTTGCTTGTTAGACCGTAGTACACAGATCGAGCGTAGTACACAGTGTGGATATGTTAGTATAAGGTGTCACTGCAAGAGGAATCAGCACCGAAGGTATTGTTAAAAAAACAGACATCATCAAAGGATTAATATCACCATTCAAGGACGCTTTTCTAAGTTAGGGTGGACAGCAAGAGCCACTATCTGTGGGTAGTTTTTTCCAGCTACAAGTTAATTTTAGCAATAGTTACTGATATAACTATGATGGATTTGAAATGGCGGGTGGCACAGTGGTGTGGTGCTGTCATCTCACACCTCTGGGACCAGGGTTCAAGTCTCCACCAGGGTTCCGTGCTCATGGAGATTGTGACCCTGAATAGGATACGTGGTTACAGAAAATGGATGGATTTGAAATGTTCAGGAATTTGTAACATGGAAATGTCACCAAGTAATGCAGTGGTGGGCCTTACAGGAATACACGCTAAACTCTGCTGGCTCCTCTTGCCCGTGGCCTCCAGATAAACTGCTTCAATTTGTGGGTAGAGCCACACAGCGTGGAGATAGTCATCTACTGAGGCTCACTGCCCATTTGCAGAGCTTTTCAGTGGTAATGTGTGTCCTTCGAATGACTTTACACTGTATTTGATGGATTTTAGCATTACATGTCATAAACATGTTATCCCATATGCACAGGCTTGGGTAATTCAGGTCCAGAGCATAAAACTCCAGACTAGGATTTTGTTTCAACCAACCAGCTGAGTACCCCATGACTGTGATTCTTTATGCTCAACTGGTTAGTTGAAACAAAATCCCAGTCTGGACTTTTACTCTCTGGACCTGAATTACACAACTCTACATATGCATTTTCAATTCATGTCATATTGGAGGTTATTCAAGTCTAAGCCATTTGTACACGGGAACTGATTTTAATCTAATTTCACACTAAGATCTTATAATTTTGAAGGTCTGAAAAGCTGCAGTTTTAGGCAAAGAGAGGGGGTCTAATTATTAACTTTTCTAATAATAATCTTTTCTTAATTGCTTTTTTTGAAATGGCACTGGTTTGGTGTGTTATATTACACTTGAAAGTGGTCAAAAATCATGAACAGGCCATCACTCAATAACTGACCCAGGCTGCTTAATCAAAAACATAATGAAGTATGGGTTATGCCATAATGAGGTATGAGAGGAGGGTGAAAGGCTGTAATTAAGAACTTCATTTGACTGCCACTATGCAGTTAAGGTGGTGCTGACGGTAATATAAGTTTTTAAAAATTGTAATAATACACAGATTTTTCAGTGACCAGTTCTTGAAGCAAACTTTTTTTCAGTATCCAGCTAAGGGCCTGAGCCCGCCAAGCTGTTCAGAGTTTTGTACGACCGATCATTTAATGAGGCTTCTGTTCTTTCCAATAAAATCTGGCGACCGCACTATTGACAGGAGAACCAGTCTGGGAGATGCTGTGACAGATCATGGAAAAAGAGGTCATTTACTTTTGGGGGGCTGTTCATTTTGACCGTGGCTATACGGCCAAGCAGAGCGAAGGCAGGTTTGATCCATCTTGCCAGGTCATCTTTCATTTATGTAGCCAGTGGACGTAATTAAGTTTAAATGGCCCGTTCAGGTTTAAGAAATGACAGAATGACTCTCGCAACCAGCCCCTGAATGTCCCCTATTATGAGTCATGCTTTCTGCAGGGCTGGTCGCATGACGAGAAGGGACATCGCCCGCAGCCTGATTTTCTGCAAAAACACCTTCAGATACAAGCTATATTTAATTCACACACCCAGGAATGGTACCATGTAAACTTAGGAGCTGCTCAAGAGCTCTACATTTGTCTAAAGCAGTGGGTCTCCAACCTTTATCAACATGCTGATCACAATTAACCAGATGGCGACCACTGGTCTAAAGAAGTGTTTCCCAACCCGGTTCTCGGGGTCCCACAGCAAGTCCACATTTTTGCTCCCTCCCAGCTTGTCCACATTTTTGCTCCCTCCCAGGTCCCAGTAGCAAAAACATGGACTGTCTGCAAGTCCCCAAGGACCACATTTAGAAACTGTGTTTGACTTATACAATTTCTCCCTCGTGTGACAATCCCCTTCCTAACTCTCAGGATGGAGTTCTGTACCATGTCACTGCTGGCTAACCCTAACCACAACCAGGAGAAGTTCTGGATACTGCATTCTAGCTAGGTGGTTTTTCGAGTGACAGATGAAAGTCACTGAGGTGAGTGTGCGTGCGTGAAGCTGGCTCCGAGCGAGCGGCCGTACCTCTTCTGGCAAGCTGACCACCAGCTCATTGTCTGCCTGCTCCAGTAGGGCCTGCAGGAAGTACTCGCTGCAGGCAGCCAGCACGGCGCGGTGCGCCCGGAACTCCTTCCCCTCGGCCAGCACGGTCACATCGCAGAGCACGTCGCGCCGCCGCTGGTCGTTCAGGCTCAGGAGCACGTTGGCGCAGTGGACCGTCGACTCATACACATACATGGGGGCCTCAGGCTTCTCATCCACGGACATCCCGCTCACGCCCTGAGGTGGGAGGCAGGAGGGGGGGTGGGTTTAATGAGTGCCATCTGTGCATGTGTGTTAGTGTGCTTTTTGTGAACTGAAGAGGAATACACCACAGCTGCAAAGGGACCAAACCTCAAAGGATTATGGGAGTCAAGACAGTATGTGAAGACAAAGAGAAGAAAAGCTGACAAGAATGACAGACAAGAATGACGACTGATTTTTATGGGAGTGGACAGAAAAACAGGTACCGGCCTTTTAGGACTGGTAATAATGCACAGGCGACGGGCATGGATGAGCTGGTCACCTGAGCTGGACCTACCCTAAAGAAGTGGCCGCCCTCTCAGCATTTGTGTCGGCAGATCACACAAACACGACAGCATGGGTGAGCCTTATGTGAGGGCTGATTGTGAGAACATGAAACATGAAAGTGTCATCGGGGGATACAGGCGGCGCAGGCTTCACCGTCCGTTTTCTGCTGCTGGTGCTGGGAGCAGAGGCTCACAGGCATGCACTTTGCAACACTGCTTAAGAGGAATAGGAGTCTGTCCCTTTTAACAGCCCTTTAAGTCCATTAGTTCAGCGAAGGCAGACTGAAAATTGTTTGTTTCAGAGACAGCGGAGTGGCTTTTCTCTACTGACAGGGGGAGGGGTTTGGGAGGCGAGTTCTGTACGCACCCCCCCCCCCGGGCAAAGTGACAAAGCACAGAAACCCCATTATGACCTGTCCGTCCACATGCGAGTCCCCCCCACCCCGCCAAGGAGGCCTCCAGTGTAGCAATAGGAGGTCTATCAATCCAAACGTCATGGAACACACAAGGAACCAGAAAGTGCGCTGTTCGAACAGGAAAGGCCGTTGTTTTTCTAGGGCCGGAAACTTCCTCTTTGGCTTGCCCAGACCTGGGAAACTCTCCGGCACTATAACCCAGACCACAGAGTACAGCCTTGTGAGTGTCACACAAAAATGTCAGGTTTATTCAGCTATAATGGCCTATGACTCATGGATTGTGTGCCTTCTTTGCTGACTAATAGTCAAATGAGAGGCTGGACTAAAAGAGGATGCAGTTCAAATCCTCTTTGCCTCGTCTACAGTGTTTCCCTTCAGCTCCAGAGTAAATATTTTCCAGATCCACTTGAATGCACTTACTGTATAAGCAGTGAACCATGTCTCCTTAAATTCTGCATACTTGTTCCTGTGTGAAATCTTTGTCTTGAGAACAAAGTCTGAACCATTGGCTGCAAGGGTTTTGTTTACACTCTTGTTACGCATTAACATTTAAGCGTATTTTTGTGTTTTTGGGTTCCTTCTTGCTGTAGAAGTTTAAGGCACCAACTCCATGATTCTTTTGTTCCCACTTTGCCTAATTGAAAATGATGACCTGACTTCTGGGGATACTGTTTTCAGATGTGATTATAAGGATCATGACAACAAAAACAGGCTAGTGGATAAAAGGACCACTGAGCAATCAATCAGAGGGCAGTAGGAGACACAGCAGGCCAGAAGGACTCAAAGGCGAGGCCTGCGCCAGGGATAGAATGGCAGCGAAGAAGCCGAGAACAATATCAGATGACCTCTGTCAGGCTGAGTAGCCAGCCTGTTCTGTTAATGAGTTCCTGAAAGTATGTGAAAAGTTCTGCTGTCTGGGTTTCTAAGCTCATAAGCGATACAGCTAAACTGCTTCAGGGTTGATGTCCCCACACAAACCACAGTGGCGTGGATGGTTCAAGAACACCAAGGGACCATGATCAGCCAGGCCGAACCTGGGCCTTCGTACCCTGTCACCGCCTGGCGGGTCCCTTCTCCCCCAACCAAATGGGCCGCCATGTCAGAGAAAGACAGGGGCAGCATGCGGCTCAGTGAGGAAAGCCTGTGGCTGTGATTGGAAGGCTGCTGGTCTGAGCCTGGGCTCAGCAGGATAGTCACATCTGTGGGCCCTTGAGCGAGGCCCTTAACCTATATATGTGTCTGGGTGTCATGGAGAGCAAGATGGGGTAGGCGAAAAGAGAATTCTCCTGCAAGGGATCAATAAAGTGTCACGATTACAGAATGCGACGAAGCCGCAGTACTCCGCATGCCTCAGTCTTCTTCACGCAACAGCTCTCCATCGCTCACTCGTCGCTCTGTACTCGGACGACCAGCCAGTAGCCACCCAACAGGCCAAACTCCCATATCAGAGTCACTTCCTGTCTGTATGTATGTGGGTGGCCAGTAGTTCTAAGAGCAAAACTCAGAGCAGCACCGTGTGCTTTACAGCAGGCGATGCGGATGTAATAACGTAAGATACCAACCTAGCAGCCGCAATAATAGTATGGCACTGGAGGACTCACTGGTCGCAAGCACTCGCTGAGATAGTTACAGCCTGAATCAGTGGAAAACTGCCCTCATTTTTGCCTCCACACCCCATTAAAAATAATCTAGGGACACTATCTTCCCGCTCACCTGTCTGTCTCGGGCAGACTAAGCTGAAGGGAGCTACAGCCAGCAGCTGTGATGTCAAACCACCCGTCAAACCCAAGTCACTTTCCCCGCGCCGGCCGCTGGCGCCATGACAACGCGTTCTTCATGCTGGGCTCCTGTCTGCTCGCTGCGTGCGCTCGGCAAACATGCCCAAGGCTTTTGTTCAGCCCTGGCTTGGCAGGGGAGGCCTTAACACTGTGAATGATCTGCCGGCGATAGCATGCACCTTCTCACCGCATCGACAGCATGGCGTCTGAATCTCTCTGAATGCCATGGGGCGGTGATCGCCATCAGACGCACACCCTGCACGCGGCCACCTTCCCTGTGCCGTTTTCGAGCCCTTCAGCATGGAATGTGGTACCGTGTACCTGTGGCGAGCTTCCTTTCGCAGTCCAGCCATAAAAACCCGATCCGACAGCGCCTTCAAGCTCTACTGGGCATTAATAACGCCTTTCTGTGACTCATCTCCTGGTTTCACAGGCCTCCCGGCAAATGCCGCAATTCGGACGCGGTGCTACGCGCCACGGAAACCGGCAGCCGTGCTCACGGCTCCTGTCACGCGTATTCAGTGTCGATCTGTTCAAACCGCCGGTTACTACAAGCCTCCTCATGGAATGCCATCTTCAAAAACAAATAACCGTATTCCCTTTGAATGGTATCTTCAGATTTATTTCTCTGCATTGTCCTCATGTTATATAAATGATTCAAATAAGGACAGGACAGTATGGCGAAATAAAAGCTTTGGACTTGTCAAGCTGGGAATTACACTGGTACTGTCAGAAAGAGCCACGTTTCCTTTTGTGTGGAGAGGGTGTGCCGCAGTCAGAGCACAGCCTAGATGTGCAGCAGGATGTTCTCAAGCCGCAGAGGCCATTAGTGCTTTCCCGCAACAAAACAGCACGGCCGTTCTTGTAAAACCATAAAACGGGCTCGGCGGCGGTAGCACGTCGGCAAGGTACGCGAGAGGGCGCCAAGCCGCACGACGCCGTGTTTCCCAGTTGTAAAATACGCGAGGAAAATTTCAGTTCAAATGAATTAACCCCATCCGATTATGATTTATGGTGCAAATAAAGGATAAATTACGGACTTCCTTTGGAAGCATTTTTGAAGTGCCTTGAAAGCATCGACATTGCAAAGCAGCAATTTATTGCCTTGTCATTCTTGTGACACACACATAATCCCTGAGCCAACACCTGCTTTATTGCTTCGAAACCAGCAGAATAATAATGGGCACATCTCCTCCTAAATACGTTTAATACCCAACAGCCAACAGGGATGCCGCAGTCTGTGCAGCACTGGTGTTCGTTAAGATTTTTACAACAACACTCAGAAATTGATTCTGATAGCACTGATTACAAGTTTTCCAGCATATTGTCCTGGGAAAATGAAAACGGACCAGTGCAATGAGATATAAGACAGCTCAGGTTTTTGATGTGTCCACAAGGACAATGGACATTTCCCACTGAGCACTGTGAGGAGACGAGATAGGTAGTGCAACCACAGAGTCAATAAAGGCAATTTCATTGTCCAAAAAGTCATTAATTGAATTTCCTAAGAGGTAACAGTCTGGCCACTCAGCCTAGTTTGGAGGTCTTGGCATGAAGAAACAACCACTAATTCAAACAGAAAAATGTTAATATTTATAATGTTAGCAAGAGTCTTTGTAAAAAACACTATCAAAAAACACTACCGTGAACTGCTTACAAGAAAAAAAAACACCTAAAAAGGCTAGAAGATAATTGACTTTTTGTTACAATACACTATTGCAGTTCCCATCACTGGCACGCTGCTGTTTTCCGTCATTGGACATGTACACGCGTGCTTTCATGTACACGCGTGCCTGTTCTGCTGTCACATTTGTCTGTCCTGCTCTTCTGGGGCACAGACCGCACGTGGATCTAGACTAGCCATGAAGGACAGGCTGGAAGTCCCAAGGGATCTAGGCCCTGGCTTGAGCACATTTCCCTTAACAGTCATGCATCGGGGCGAGTCTGGTGCCGCAGGGCGTGCTGTGCAATTTAGAGCGAAGGCTTCCTACCACATGTCTTCGATTACGGTTAAAATGAGCACGGCTTTCGCCGCGATTCGGGAATTAAGGGCCAACAACAAATGTGCTTAGAGTGGTATAAAAACTGCAGAAATTAAATGCCGCCTGAAGGGAATGAAAACACTAATAATGAAAGAACAAATGTGGAGAAAAAATAAACATGATGGGAAAGCATTGTTACAGGCAAATGCATTCTCATGTTTTAAACCACGTCCACAACAAATTTAAAAATGTCTTTGTAAAGAGTTAGGTCTTAGAGGATCATTGAGGATCAAGGACTGCACGCAAACACCCCCAAGGAACTGGAGGTTTCAGTGTAACACAGTCTAGATCACTTTCTGCTGGCCTCTCAGACTGTGAGTATCGATTATTCTAAATGGCTTGCTAGGTCACCCTGAGACATCCTGACGTCTTCTCAATGTGCTGGCAGCCAATCAACGGTGTGTGGCTGGGGGCTGGGGGCTCCCCATCTCTGCAATGTCTCACAGTTTAAAAGGTGGTTGATTTTGCTTTGACCGTGACTAGAAATACTTTAAAGTTAAATGGGTGAGGAACTGCTGAGTTTTAGGTGGAAAAAATAGAAATCTTATTTTAACAGATCGCATGAATTGAAATTTATTTGAGGAGGAAAGCCCCCTTTTTTTGCTTTAACTGCAAATATGATGACAAATGTGAGTCATGACATCAGGCTTACGCATACAGTGGTTACAGATCGAGCAGATTAACATCGCGATACGAGCAAACATTCACCGTTATCTGCACATTTAAGAGCATCTCCATTTCAAAGGTTTTGATTTTGAATATTCTCTGATGTGCAGAAATGCGGGAAAGAACAATGCGGCTGGAATGTCTATACATCTATGCATCTTAAAAACAATAGTTCTAACCAGCTGGGCTCATTTTCTTTCATTCAGTGCTTAAAGTACGGGCAGTACTCAAAGCAGCCAGAGAGAGGTGGTATGGTGATACTGTTTTTGCATGTTCTTTAAACTAAACAATTTAATACATTTAAAAATAACCAACCAAAAGTGTGCACTAAGTGTAAGAGGTGTGAGATCAATGCATATTTTTACAATGTTGTATTTGACCCAGTATACACTGTAGTCTATCCTGCTCACATGAAACCGACATAAATCATGACTGATGGAAGGAAATAACGGCTGACTATTTATGATTTAATCCAAGATTGTTCCTCAACGTCCCACTCGAAGTCAGAAACTGTGTCAGTCTGGTGACATTGGAGAAAATGATGTTTTACTCCAGGGCGGGACCAGGACGGTAGGGTCCATACAGCGGCTACAGCTCACAGAGGAGCAGGACGGTAGGGTCCATACAGCGGCTACAGCTCACAGAGGAGCAGGACGGTAGGGTCCATACAGCGGCTACAGCTCACAGAGGAGGCACCAAGGCAAATAGGTCCTCATTTCATCAAGTCTATCTACGGGCGATGCTGAGGGGGGTACCTCTAATTAACTGCTAATATATAGGTGTGCAGAAATTTAATTGTTTCAGTTCCCAAGTAGGTCAGACAAAAGCATGCAGGGGCTTTCCAGGTGTGGCACTGCAGCCAGACGCGTGGCGGTGACATCAGTGGCTGTGCCTGGTGACAGCGGCCGCGGGGCCTGCAGATAAGAGGGACAGAGTCGCTTTCACAGGGTCAAGGACGCCCTGATATTGATTCGCAGTTCGAGCGTGAGGAGGCATCAGAAGAGCCTTTGTGAGCCATGCGAGAGCCCTCACTGCGGCACTTCTTGGCAGAACTGTGACCTCACAGCTCTGTGCTGGGGGGTGTGGGGAAGTCGCATTCATACAGTCATGTGGAAAAGTTTGAGAACCCTTTGGAATTATCTGCATTTTTGCATGAGCAGCTTCCAAAACGTCAGATCAGTCCTAATAACAAAGACAGGTTTTCTGAACAAACAGCATATGCAGCATTTCACCTCGCTGTATTTTTATTGAATACGTGGTTTCACCAATCAAAGAGAAATATGTAAACCCTTATGTTTAGCAACTAACATCCTTTATTAACAGTAACCACAACCAAAAGCTTTCTGTGGCTGCTGATCAGATCCACACTGGTCAGATTGATTTCAGTATCTGCCAATTGCCAATCACCATTTTCAGGACTCTCTGAGGTTACTGCCAATGAAGGAGGTTCTACTACTTACTAAATATAAGGCTTCACATATTTTTTTTCCATGAATGACTTGGCTTGCTTTTACCATTTGTTCTGTAGATCTGGAAAAGACAGATGTTGTGCATGTTGTTTATTAAATATGGCTGTCTTTTGATCAGAACAGAGTTGCTGGTCATCAGTCTAAAAACGGTAAAAACCCAGATAATTCCAAGGGGTTCACAAATTATACAGCTATTTTTATAAATATGAACTATACCTAAAAAGGTTTAAATAAATTTGGCCCTGCACCATGATGAGCACTAATCACCAACTTAACAACACGATGTGCAGCAGGTGCTCCGGGGACAGTGGACAACTGCAGAAGGAAGATCGCAGCGACCCTGCACACGCAAGGCCCAGGTGTTTTTGCGACTGGCTTCGTTAAGCGCAGCCGGATGCATAATCAGGCGTGGAGGCCCTCCCCCCATTGGAAATCGACACAACTGCCTGCCTACAGTTTGATTCCCGCTGAGGGCAAAACAGCAGATCATCAATATTGCGACCAGGTTTAAATATGCATTGTGTGATGCCACCAGGCTCCCGTGCATGTATGGATTACTGTGTGGAAATCAGGAGCAGGAAGATGCGACGGTGGGAGGCGCGCAGGTGAAACAATTCAGAAAATCCTGCGACGCTGAGGCCTGGGTGCCACGTACTCCGCGCGCCATGACGGATCCGCACACACACACACAGACTCCTGCTCCTGGCTTCAGCCGAACGCAGGAAATCCACATGTCCACACGCACGAGGCTGAGGCAGTGTAGCTGAGAGGCTGGGAGAGACAGCAGGACTGCCAAGCCTTAGTAAAGACAATGGCATGCACGTTTCTGGGTATTCATCTTAAGTCAATATTAAAGTCCCAGGCAACACAAACTAAGGTCTTAAGATAAAGATAGATCAATACTAAGTATTTTTCTGTGCGATATTGTTCAGCATGGTGATGGTGCGGATAAGACTCTGCTCTGGAGTCATGGCCCTGAATTATTCTTGAGTTTTGTACGTGTTCACCGTGTGCCCCATACTTCAGCTCTTTGGCTATAAGGCGGAGAGTGCAGAAAATCCAATGACTCTGGCTGTGACTCCGTGTCTGTATGTGCTCTGCATGTACTGTGGTGTCCTGGATTCATAACCGTCATTTAAACAGATGATCGAATTTGCTCAGAATAAACACAACTGCGGAAAGCCCATACTGTTTATACGATCAAAAAAAATTCCTCACTGACAATATTTTTAAAAGGAGAATGTGTGAATGATGATTCCCTGAAAATCGACCTACCTATCTGTCACAAAGGATGAAGCGTGCAGCATTAAATGTTTCCAAGATGATGAAGCCATCTGCATTTTAGCATCATCAGATTCCAGCAGTTAGCTCACAGCACCATCATTCAACACTACAGCAACAGAGGAATATAACACTAAATCCTTAAATCAATAGAACAAACACCCGTGCAGTTAAGCAAACAAATTGGACAGTAATATGTTATACCATCATATAACCTCAAAGCAAATACTCAACTGAATTAAGTTCCTAAACACTGGAAGTTTATATTGGATTATGAGTTGAAACCAGGCTGAAACCGGCAGAGCAGAGAGATAAATCAGAGCGGTGAAGTGACAAGTGCATATTTTTTCAATATTTTCACTGAAAGCAGCATTATCTATTCCTATACATAGTTTCACCACACTGCAGTTCACCGGTCAAGTAATGTCTAGCTGGATAAAACACCATCAAGTGCCCAAACGAGGCCCAGGTACTGGAGAGAGCTTAAGAAAAAAAACGAAACGACAGAAAAGAAACGTGCATCCATGTAAATGATAACGCTTAGATCTGCTCGAGGCAATGTGGTTTCTGAGAAATTCGTGCAGTATTTCTGGTAATTCGTCTGGCTAAGAAAGAAAAAAAAAACAGGGCAAGACATCAAAGAGATACACAATAATGCCCCGTTACTCTAGCTTATGCTGAGAAAATGCCTTGTTTCTGTAAAATGCTAACTGTGCTCCCCTCTAGATAACCAAAGAGGCAAAAATACTACAGCCGTTATCTTTACACCATCTGGTGCTCACACCACAAAAAACCAGGGCACTGTTACCTGCGAGCCATGCTGTCACCGTCCTGGGCCTCTGTCCCTCCTAAACAGCCCGGCGGCGTGGCTGGGCCATTTTACCGTTAAGCCAGGTACCCTCTCAGGAAGGCGGGAAGAGAACTCTCCGAAGCGGACCCAAAGGAATGGATAGATAGATAAAAGAGGGGGTTACTGGGAGCAGACCGGGGAGGCTGCACACCTTTCAGGGCGCGCGGTGGTGAAGAGAGTGCCGGCACTCTGAGGCCGTGGGCTGATTAAGAACGACTCGCGTGAATCAGCCCACACCACCAGTCAGAAACAGGAGTGACTCATATCAGCGCTCAGTCTGGTTACAAACAATACGCACGGCGCGGCAATTCAGCGCCACCTTTCAGAAGCCGGAGTCTGAACCTGCCTTTCTTCATTCGTCACCGTGACGACAGCGCGTGCCGAGGGAACCCCGTGCTCACTGGGGTCCGTTTTAATCCCGGGGCAGTTAAAGGTGATGCCGCAGCACGGAAGGACACGGACACACTCTCTGGTTCCTCGGCCACGGCTGGCTCCGCCCATCTCACGCCTCCTTTCAGGACTGAGGCATGCCCAAGGTTTCTTGCTTGAGCGTGGGAGTCTGAAAGCGTGAATGTCACGCCAGATGTGTGAGTTGTACTGTAACTGATTATCCAGTGAGTGACCGGAGAGACTCCGTTTATAGCAGATACTCTCCAGCCAATCTGAAGTACATGATAGCACACCCTCTCTATTTCCAAGGGCATGATAGCACACCCTCTCTATTTCCAAGGGCATCACTGCGTTTGGTGACAACTTCTAACCAGCCGATGTCTGGCATCTCGAAGGGGAAAAAGGGGAAAAGGAGGGGGATTTCACAGCACATACTCATCTCTGAACCTGCCTTGCTCTGGGGGTTACCTGGGGTTTAACGCCTCGCCACCGTTCGTCATGGCCGTTCGCAGAGTGACGCATCAATGTTTGGCGGCGAGAGAGGCCCGAGACCCGTCACACCCCATTACGCATCACAGCCCATTAACCCAGTGCTCTGCGATTTCCGCTCTGCAGTAAGTGCCACCTGAAGCCGTGGGTATAGGTATCACACACGTCAGTGAGTGACACTGCACATCTCTTTCATGGACGGTTTAACGGTTTCTCAACCTGGACTTAATCACTCAGACGTCTCTGGACGGCCTCTCAAACAGAGGTATGCTCTGCCCCGTCTCCTTTCCCGACCCCGCGGAAAAAGCACCCATGTCCGACAGAGGCATGCGCCCCTACAAAGCACCCTCCCACAGTCACCTCGCCCTCGGCTAGCTAACCCGGTGGCTGGGAGGCCTGGAGGCAGGCGAGAGGGCTGTATCTAGGTGAGACCAGCCGCCAAGGTGTTAACTGAAGGCAGGCGGGGCAAAGGGACACCGCCCCCTGCTGCTTGAGACCATGCACAGAAACAAAAAAAAAAGTAATTTAATAGGCAGGATGGTACACTGAGATAATAGCAAACACAAACACGAAAGGAACACAGCCACAAATGTCAAATCAGCAACAAACGGAAAATGTTATCATTGGGAAAGACAGGCCACAGACAGCCGCCTACGAAAAGCCTCCCACTGAGACAGAGAGAGAGAGAGAGAGAGAGAGAGAGAGAGAGAGCGAGAGAGAGAGCATGCAGGCGTACAGGCCTGGGCGTCGGCACCGCTGTACACACTGCGCCTGCCTACCGCGGGAGCATGGTGAGCCCCACCGGGATACACACGCCCCATCCCCAGTGTCAGTCTAGGTCACACTCAGACTATGCTACAGACCTGCACACATTTCATTTTTACTCTAATTCTTATTCCACCAGGCTGTTTAATTTCTGCTGTTTATGTGCCAATTTAGTCTTACATACTGTATGTATAACTGTTGTAGTCTGATTACTTCATGGCGGTTCGTAAATGTTGCTTTTCAGGTCTAGCGGATGATATTAAAAATTGGTTCCTTCCCTTTCTGCTATCTGCCGTGCTTCCAAACATGCAAATACAATGCACAGCTTTGCGGCCCAAAACACGGAGAAATTAAAACTAAAACAATACCCACTCAAATTTACAAACGTTTACAGAATTCTTTTGCTTTTCACAAAGGCTTTACTATTTTTTTTTTTTTTTTTTTACTTTTATTATTCATTTTGGTTTTCATTTAATTTTTAACAATAACAATCTCACACTGCTGACTCCTGGACGGCTGCCGGAGAAGTTTCAGGTATCTAACATCACTGACCAGGGTCATTTAATACTGTGCCAGTCAAGCTTCTCCCTCATGGAAAAACTGAACGCCTGACTTCAGCAGTCATTCACACAGCAGCTGCTCAGAAGGGACTGATTCCTAATTTTTTTATATCCTTACAGGCTGGGACAGTCATTTACCTACATTATGATTCATGCACTCTTAAACTCTGAACACATATTTAAAACGCTCCCCATGAGACAAGCTCTCTCCAAACAAAACAGCATGCGCAAGCTATCTGTGTTTTACTACAGCAATCACAACAATCAGTCACGCCAAACATGCCTTTCTCATTGCAGGCGGGATTAAAAGCGCTGTACAGAATTCAGGGGAGTGGACACAGCGAATGATGTGGTCCTTACACTTCCTCTGCGGAGACCCGGAGCACCTGAGGCATTGGCCAGCCTTCAGCAGCAAGCGAGTCAGAGACACACACGGATGTCCTCGGCTTTCAGATCTCTTGCAAGCCCTGCGTGGGAGACGAGCAGCGATTAAGACTGTATCTCAAACGACTCAAACAGAAGTAGCCTTCGAATTTCAAAACAGCCCTGACACACAAACACAGTGAACTCACTGTTTCACTTTTTGCACTGTTAAAATATAGTCGCTGGGTACAGGTCTATACCTGAGCTGACCTGTGGATCTTAGGGCCAGGTGTACCACTTTGTGTTTTGCAGGTTAAACACCTTGCCTTCATGTGTGACTCAAAGGCTTAATGCTCGAGCTCGCAAACCTTTCGGTCAGACGGACCAAGACCAGCAGTGATCTGTAAAGCCAATCTGGCTCCCATCTGGCCCTCACACTGTGGCCACAGTAACAGCCCGAGGGAAGCCCATTCTTTAACAGCCGCAGGGCATTTGATGTTCGGTCACATGACCCCCAAAGCCGACTGGAGAAGTCTGAGGGCACCGAGACTGGGATCCAAATGATGTGTAGGTGTGAATGTGAGTACAGTCCTCAGGGCAGTGATAACAGAATTTAGCACCTTCACACAGCAGCTACACAACAGGATGTCAAAAAAAAAGTCATAGTAATTGTCTAAATAAATAAATAAATAAATAAAAAGCCAAAACCTTTGCTGACAATACGGTTGAAAAGCAGGAGTGATGCATGGGAGGTGTTTATTTTGTCAGGGATGTGGATGCAGGGAGGTTTGGTACCTCCCTCGGTTAACCACATGCATGGATTAGAGAAGTCAGTCACCTATCAATCCAACTGCAGCATTTAACATGCATCACTGTACAGTTGGAGCATATGAAGCTTTTCTTCCCCCCTCGAAGAAGTTAATGTGTCAGGCAGATCTCTCCACCACACAGCTAAAATGATGGAGTCAAAAAGTAACCCAACAGCAGTAAGACATGTCTCGTGTCAGGTACAGTCTTTTACACCACCACACTGAAAAAGTCAGAGAAAACACGCCATATTGAAGGTTAGTCATAGACAAAGCGTCATAAATTGCGGTTTCTTGACATCTGCCTCATGAGTAAAACCAAGAAAAGGAAACGATCGTAAGGGGATATAAGAAACCATGGAAATAGAGAGGGTGTGCTATCATGTACTTCAGATTGGCTGGAGAGTATCTGCTATAAACGGAGTCTCTCCGGTCACTCACTGGATAATCAGTTACAGTACAACTCACACATCTGGCGTGACATTCACGCTTTCAGACTCCCACGCTCAAGCAAGAAACCTTGGGCATGCCTCAGTCCTGAAAGGAGGCGTGAGATGGGCGGAGCCAGCCGTGGCCGAGGAACCAGAGAGTGTGTCCGTGTCCTTCCGTGCTGNATCACTGCGTTTGGTGACAACTTCTAACCAGCCGATGTCTGGCATCTCGAAGGGGAAAAAGGGGAAAAGGAGGGGGATTTCACAGCACATACTCATCTCTGAACCTGCCTTGCTCTGGGGGTTACCTGGGGTTTAACGCCTCGCCACCGTTCGTCATGGCCGTTCGCAGAGTGACGCATCAATGTTTGGCGGCGAGAGAGGCCCGAGACCCGTCACACCCCATTACGCATCACAGCCCATTAACCCAGTGCTCTGCGATTTCCGCTCTGCAGTAAGTGCCACCTGAAGCCGTGGGTATAGGTATCACACACGTCAGTGAGTGACACTGCACATCTCTTTCATGGACGGTTTAACGGTTTCTCAACCTGGACTTAATCACTCAGACGTCTCTGGACGGCCTCTCAAACAGAGGTATGCTCTGCCCCGTCTCCTTTCCCGACCCCGCGGAAAAAGCACCCATGTCCGACAGAGGCATGCGCCCCTACAAAGCACCCTCCCACAGTCACCTCGCCCTCGGCTAGCTAACCCGGTGGCTGGGAGGCCTGGAGGCAGGCGAGAGGGCTGTATCTAGGTGAGACCAGCCGCCAAGGTGTTAACTGAAGGCAGGCGGGGCAAAGGGACACCGCCCCCTGCTGCTTGAGACCATGCACAGAAACAAAAAAAAAAGTAATTTAATAGGCAGGATGGTACACTGAGATAATAGCAAACACAAACACGAAAGGAACACAGCCACAAATGTCAAATCAGCAACAAACGGAAAATGTTATCATTGGGAAAGACAGGCCACAGACAGCCGCCTACGAAAAGCCTCCCACTGAGACAGAGAGAGAGAGAGAGAGAGAGAGAGAGAGAGAGAGCGAGAGAGAGAGCATGCAGGCGTACAGGCCTGGGCGTCGGCACCGCTGTACACACTGCGCCTGCCTACCGCGGGAGCATGGTGAGCCCCACCGGGATACACACGCCCCATCCCCAGTGTCAGTCTAGGTCACACTCAGACTATGCTACAGACCTGCACACATTTCATTTTTACTCTAATTCTTATTCCACCAGGCTGTTTAATTTCTGCTGTTTATGTGCCAATTTAGTCTTACATACTGTATGTATAACTGTTGTAGTCTGATTACTTCATGGCGGTTCGTAAATGTTGCTTTTCAGGTCTAGCGGATGATATTAAAAATTGGTTCCTTCCCTTTCTGCTATCTGCCGTGCTTCCAAACATGCAAATACAATGCACAGCTTTGCGGCCCAAAACACGGAGAAATTAAAACTAAAACAATACCCACTCAAATTTACAAACGTTTACAGAATTCTTTTGCTTTTCACAAAGGCTTTACTATTTTTTTTTTTTTTTTTTTACTTTTATTATTCATTTTGGTTTTCATTTAATTTTTAACAATAACAATCTCACACTGCTGACTCCTGGACGGCTGCCGGAGAAGTTTCAGGTATCTAACATCACTGACCAGGGTCATTTAATACTGTGCCAGTCAAGCTTCTCCCTCATGGAAAAACTGAACGCCTGACTTCAG